ATAGTAAATTGGTCATTTTGAAAATATTATTAAGTGAAAAAGTCAAAATGGAGTTATGGGGCTTTGACTAGGGTATTTTTAGAAGTACCCCAAACTTAACACTATGCTCATGTCATAAAAATGTTAAAATAGAAAAACTTGCTTTTGACATTTTAATCAAAAAAGCATAGTCATAACCTTCTTTTACTATTTTCAGTTTAGGGTGTTATGTGCTCAACTAAGCAATTTTCCATTAGTCTGAGGGACGGTAGTTGTCAGTGTGTGATGGAGTTTTAAACTAAATTGAAGTTTAAGTAAGATAAATTAAAATTTAATGATCCAATAAAAAATTTACTGAACCACGAATGATATTTTTATCAAAATTTTAAATACAGCAATGCCTAAATTATTCTTTCATTTAAAGGACTTCTGCTTCCCTAATGGCTCGTTTGACATGAGTTTTACTTTACTTAATGTATAAGAGCTTTTGAAAGAAATTACTTTAATTTTTGTTTGGAAACTAATTTTTAAAAGAGCTTGCTTTTATCTTATTCCAAAAGTACTTTTAAGGGAAGACACGTTGGACCAACTTTTTCTAAAAGCTCTTTAACTTAAAGAATCACTTCACATAAAATTAGCTAAATGAGTCCAAAAGTAGCTTTTGAGTCTCAAAAGCTCATTTTAGCTTTCTAAAAGTCATGCCAAACGAATCGTTAATTTGGGGTTGACTTGAAGCAGTATCCCATTTAATGTTAAAAAAGGAGTTTTCCCAAGTCAAATGAAAAGTGATGTAACTCTTCAAATAGGTACTTGAACATCTTACGGAGATACAACTAAAAATCAGAAGGCACGTAATTGATAATCTCAAAACTATTTCTATTTTATACCGACAATATTAGGCGACCGAGAGATACAAATTTGCAAATAGGGAAAAGACCATAAAAGATTCCAAAGAAATTTCCAACTGCAACTGTAAAGGTACTGAAAACAAATAGTCTCCTCAAACATTACTAGATTTTACCGAAGACTTTCTAATGAAGCACAAGGCTTCAACTGGAATCAGTCTTAGAGTTTGTAAATTTATTTATGTCCTGCTCAGAATTCTTGAAAGAAATTAATCTTCCTTTCCGAGCAAAGTCAGGAGGAAGGCCTTGTAGTCGCCCCAAGTGTCCTTTGCCACTGCATGCTCAAGAGACATGCTGTTTCTCTTCTGGAAAAGCTCCTTGATATCCTTCAAGCCTTTCTCAGCACTCGTGATAATAACCCGAGTGAGAGAGTCCTCATCAGTCCCAGGCTTGTTAAGTGCACGACGAACTACCTGTAATGTAAATAGTGTTTATGAGTCCATTAATCCATTTCAGCAATTATATTTCAAATTGATTGGAAGTTTTTCATTGGATCAAGTATTAATCACCTTTTCGTAGTACTTGTGATGGTCACAAATGCATCGAATGGCAGTGCGCAATGCAAATAAGAATTCGTGACTTGAGCCATCCTTCAAATGCTGAAACACAATTACTATTAGAAACGATTAATCACACTTTTCTTCACTTAAACAAAGGAAAAAAAAATCTAAAAGCTTGATCCAATAAGATGAATAATTGTGTCTTTTACCTTAGTAATTGATGTGCCATAATCATCTTTGTAGTGATTCAAAGTTGCCAGGACTTGAGCCTTACTCCTTGTAGTTATGATTCGAATAGTTTCCTCATGATTAAATATTGCCTTCTCTGAGATAACACGATGAAGTATTTCAGCCTCGGAACTTGCTAGCCTCACATTAATCTCGTCGCCCTTGTACCTATACACGCTCACTAGCCCGACCAGAAGCTGTAATAAAGGCATTGCCACTTAGCATCATTCCACATTGTATTGTAATAAATAACATAAACATGTTACATACCTGGCGAATATCACCAGTGGTATGTTGAGCCAGGTCTTCTTCCACGGAATGCTTGTAGCGGATTTGGTAGGCACGTTTTATAGCTAAGAGCTCTTCATGTGAGCGAATGCACGAAATTTCAACAATTACACGATAATCAGGTAATGGTACTTGCTTGATCGCTACATTCAACAAGACAGCATCTCGTTCTTCTAGATCTAGTGTCCACTGGTACAAAGCTTTCTGTGTTTATCCAAACTTTCTAATAAAACTTCCCATACTATAAACATTAAACCTATTATATATGTTAAGGTCCAATTAATTTTTAATGAACACCAAAGCTTGTTAGGCCGCTTAGATCAACAGGCGCAGCAGGGTTGGCCAGCGGACTCGATAGATTTTTCTTGTTTTTCTTTATTTTTCATATATTTCTATATAATTAAAAAAAAAAATACAATCCAAAATCCCGCATGACACTGCATGTGTAAAGGTGTTAGGAATGGCCTTCCACTTTAATTTTTTTACACTTTAAATCACTTCAATTACAATCATGCTAGATGTCCAGGTCCATATGAGCTTGGACCACGGGCCACCCACCAATAGTGTATGCCCGGGCCCATGTGGCCCCGGACATATAGCTTAACTCCTTCAATTATAGGTGTAAAGGTAAGTTGGCCACCCATTCCTAAGTTTTCCATGAAGAGGTCCTACATGACAGGCCTTCCTTAGGTATGTAGAGCTATGCATGGCACGGCTCGGAGATGAAGTAATCCTCAAGTCAAACAAGGAATGGGTGGACAGCTTATACTCACCCGAAAGCATTAAAATCGTGTGTAGGGTAAAAGAAACAAACAATAAAAGACCATAAAACCTCGAAATCTCCGGATAGCTCTGATTCGAGGCGCTTGATGAGATCTTCTTGATACATGTCCTCATAAGCTTGCCTTATGAGCTTCCTTTGAATTGCATTTCTTCGCCCAAGTATGGAAATTATTGTTTTTTCATCAGTTCCCCATCCTATGCAATTTAACGTAACAAGCATATCTAATATGATTAGCATATAAAATGAAAAAAATGACAGAAAAGTACTGTAACTTGTTACCAGAACAAACAAAGAAATGGTAAAATTCGAACAATTTTCTCAAATATATAATCAACAACTGCACGAGTCACAACCAAAAAAAAAAAAAATTACAAAATCCAAAGACCAGGGCAAAATCTACCATTTTATACTAAAAAGTTGACCATAAAATATATTCTTGTCCGGTTCCACCATCCCTCGTATAAAAGCCAAGGTGGGACAAGAACATATATATTAATGGTCCATTTTTCGACATAAAAAAAAAGTTGATTTTCCATAAATCGTAACATGTACATATTAAGTCTTTGTTATTCACTATCTACAATTTGGAAAGGGATAGATATAAAAATGAACAAAAAAAAAAAAAGCAAACTTCTGTAAGAAATTCTTCTATTTCTTCCGCCTCTGATCAACTTTCGTGAATAGAGGGAATTGTTATGAATATCTTGGAAGGGATTTCGAAAGAAATGCGTATGCAGCATAAACATGACTTACCTTGACAAGCCTTCCTTAAAGCTTCTGCATCTGCAACAGGAGAAGGGTGTTCAGGGAAAATAAGGGTAGCCATTTGTTGTTCAAATCTTCTTACCTATTATCGAAGAAGTCTAAGGAGAAATGTGTGTATTCTCTTACAGAACTTTCATATTTATAGTACCAATTACAAACTGCATTTAATATTGGAAGTAACGCCATTGTACAAAAGCAATAAATATAAATCCTGGTAGATGTTTAGGTTTTTCTCCTCTGTTATTCGTGGCATTAATTAACTAGGAATTTGTTTGAAACAGAAGTGCCAGCACATTGCATATCAAACATTATTAAAAAGAATAAGCTTGCCATCATTATTTGAATAATTCCTGGTGTACAGGAATTATGTTCACATAGGCCTTACGGGCCCCTCACTGTAGCGCGGGCCCCACCCAAATGTATTTTAAAAAAAAAATATGTGCCCCCTCGTTGTCTATCCTAGCAGGGGCATGTGAGTTCTCATTATTTTTTCCTCCAACAAATACCAATGTACTTTAGACAACACAAATGTCGTTTTTACATTGACTAGTCACAGTTGAACGTACAACTTGCCATCATTATTTTTCCTACTACAAAATGAATACCATTAAACTTTAGGCAAAAAAAATGCCGTTTTTACATTAATTAGTCATAATTGAACGTGAGTTGAACGTTATTCTAAAATACATTATAAGTTTTGTAAAAATAATATTATAATATGTGAGAATATGAAAAATAATTAATAAAAATTATTTATGTGGAATAAACTTTTGATTCAAAAGAAAGTTTGTGAAAACAATTTAAATGATAGAGAAAGTCAATTAGAATTGTCCATTCATTTACCGTGAACTGAACATCCAAAGAATGCCATCATTTTTTCATATTCACTTAATATGCATTAAATATATCAATTGAAATTATTTATTATATATATGCATTATATCCCTCATTTACCTTTTCTGTATCTTAACATTTATTGAATAAAACAATTGGAATAAAACTCTTAAAATAATCATCTTTTGTTCCAATTTTTTTTTAATTACTTCAATAAGAGTACATGAAAAAATAAACAGAATGTTTATCGATGTTTATGTGGCAAAATGTGATTGTACCTTTTTTTTTCCTATCTTCCAAGTTCCAATGATGTTGCACCACGTGTTGACTGTAAGGATTTTCTGTCAAAAAATTATATACTTGTAGTATGATTGATTTAATTTACTATTCAATCAAATGGAATGAATATGTCAAATGCATATTGATCATAACTAAATAATTGACAAAATAATTCATTATAATATTGTTCAAATGATTACATAAATCAAATACATATTGAAAAACAAAAAGCTAATAATAATCTATCAAATATAATTAAATAAATTAAATATATATTGAAAAATGAAAAGTAAGGTAATGGATATGTCAAATGTACATTTATTATAACTAAATAGTTGCTAAAATAATTAATGATAATAATGTTCAAATAGTTCAAATTAATAATAATTTAAATACTTATTGAAAAATGAAAAGTATGATATTATTGAAATAATTAAATTATAGTAAAGATATAATCGTCTAAAAATGATTCTCATTTGATGTGATACTTAATATCTTCTATATATAAAGTGGCTATGAAACGGAAGTTATTGTTTTGACAGAAATTTTTGTTCCACTTTTTCCACCGTTAACTTTAATGGATTCCGTTAAATAGCAATTAAGGCAGCTTTTGTGCCCATTTATCTTCTGACAGCTGGAATTCCATTATATAATA